GAGATAGAGGAGAGGAGAGAAGAGATAGGAGAGAGAAGAGAGGCGAGAGGAGAGAGGAGGGAAGAGAGGAGAGGAGAGAGGAGAGAGGAGAGGAGAGGAGAGAGGAGAGGAGAGTTAAGAGAGAGGAGAAAAGAGAGAGGAAGAGAAAGAGAGAGGAGAAAAGAGAGAGGAGGAGAAAGAGGAGAAAGGGATGACCCCGAACCTACGTCTCCTAAGTGGTTTCGCTTGTGGGGTGTTGTTATCATTGCATGTACGTGACACGTGTCTGCATTCGGGTTTGTGGCTCCTATCTGGTTTCCCTTTTCCATGGGATCCCTCAGCCCTTTGAACCTGTTGTTGGTTTACAAAGCAACGGCCAATAAAGAATGTCAACTTCAAAGTGTCCCGATAAGGAGCCCAAACTCTCCGGCTGATGCGGGTGTTTTGGGTTTTGGGTTTAGGGTTCAGGGTTGAGGGCACAAAGTCCTCCCCATTCTATCTACTTAAAGGGGGACTATAACTCATAAGACCCTTCTTCAACTCGATGAGGTGCCGTGCAGGCCTAAGCTTTTTGAACCTACATGCTGACACCCTAGGAGGCCCTAAAACCCAAGCTCTCAGATCCTTAGCATGTTAAAACCCTCAGCCCTAGCACCTCAACCCTTACCCCCTCAGCCCTTAAAGCCTTCAGGTCTCCTACAATCCTTAGAATGTAATCCCAAGCAGTCTGCAGGTCTTAATTTCAGCGCCATGGAGGTCCAGCGCAATCTTGAGCTGGCTGGTGGCTGGGATCTGTAAAGCCCGTTGATGGCTGAGGGTTTAGGTTTTTGGGTTGTGAAGGTTTAGAGGGTAGGTTTTGCGGTTCACGGTCTAAAGTGTAGGGTGGTGAGGGTTGAGGGCTCAGGGTTGTGGGAGTAGGGTTGTGAGGTTTTAGGGTTTTGAAGGTGTAGGGTTGTGAGTGTGTTGTGGATTTAGGGTTTTGGGTCATGAGGGTTCAGGGGTGTAGGGTTCGCGGTCTAGATTTCAAATTGGGGTTTCCACAACTCCTTCGCTCACGAAGGATGCAGAAGGCACTGTAGGGCATACGCGGGGTTCGATTCCTGAAGTTGGTGACGAGATGTGCTTTGCTGTTGGTTGGCAGATGAACGACGAAAGCTCAGACGCGTAGCTGCTTTCATGTCTACTATTAGTGCTATTCCTGTTATCATTAGGAATAGAACTAGTATTATTCGTATCATTGCGATTCTTGTGGCTCGGCTGCAACGTAATTTTCGTCTACCTGTTGCAAGTAAGTCGGATCCCCAAATCTTGCGCGATAGGACCAAATGGGAACCGGCCTTTGTGCTCTCGTCTGGAAGTCTTGCTGAGCTACCCTGGTAGTATCCATCTTCCCTTTAAATATGAGGGTCTCCTTATTCAAGCTGAACATTAGGAAGAAGTTGTCCTCATGATTGAGGGGTTACTTGGGAACCCTATGAACATGGATTGGGGTATATTATGATAAGTTTCCCATATACCCCATATTCTATCTCCTTAAGGGGAACTATAAATCCCCTAGATCCTAAACCCTAAACCCTATATAACCCCATTATCGTAGTTTCCATTTTCTTTTCCATTGTCCCTATATAGCCGCAACCCTAAACCCTAAACCCTAAATAGTAGTTTCCATTTTCTTTTCCATTATCCTTTCCTAACCCCATTACAACCCTAATATTCCATCTACTTATGAGGGAGTCTAAATCCGAGTTGTCGAGGTTCCGAGATGCTGGCTTTGAAAATGGTCAACAAAGCGCGGGGTCTCAGGAGAGGTTTCTTTTGATATGGCCTGGGTATCTCCACTTTCCGTGTTTAAGTAGGAGATCCAAGGTTTGGGTTTAGGGTTTTGCGGGTTTGTGTCTGCTTGGGCTATTGCCCTCCCCTAAGCGAACATGCAACCCTAAAGGCGGCCCACATAGATTACCATCCTTTGAAACGGGGGTTGGGGGTCCATGTTTCTTGCTTAATGTCAAACTCAACCTCTGAACCCTGAACCCCAAACTAATAGACAGGAGCTGGCATGCCATATTCAGCCTCTGGGCCTGGCAAAACCGCGGAACTCTGGATGTACTGCCGCTTGAAGCCTTCCAGGAAGCTTGGGAGCTCAGAATGTCCGGGGTTTGGGTTTAGGGGTTTGAGGTTTAGGCTTTTATGGGTTTAGGTGTTTAGGGGTTTAGGGTAATTTAGGCTTAAGGGTTTGGGGCTTTAGGTGGGATGTGCTGTCAGGATTTTACAGGTTGGGGATAGTATATAGGGATACATAGGGGGTTCTATACGTAGGCGTTACATAGGGATACATAAGGATAGATTAGACGTGTTTACGATGTACATGCATATTGGGTTTTGTAGAGTCAAATCTAACGGAACACGGAACCTAAACCCTAAACCCTAAACTAGGGTTACGCAGTGGTTTATGGGGTTTGGGGCTCAGGGCTTGAGGCTTGGTAGCTTATTTGGGGTTCATGACGACTAAACGATGGTTACATGGAGATAAGGGATGGTTATATAGGAATACAGAACGGGTAGTCCTAAACCCTAGGCCCGAAAGCCTAACCTTAAATCTTCAAACCCTAAGTTAGGCATATTTTGGGAGTTAGACAAGGTATAGGAGTTCCAACAATTGAGTGGCCTTGTTTCCGCAATGCCGATCATTGCAAACCAAGTGGAAAAGAACACGCTTCCCTACCCCTCGAAACTCTGAGCCCTATGTCCGGAACCCAAACTCTAAACCCTAACCCTAGGCCCTAAACCCTAAACCCCTAAACCCTAACCTCTCACCCCTAACCCCTCAGCCCTAAACCCTAACACCCTAAATCCCTAAAACCCTAAAACCCAAAGCCTTACAGCCTTCCAGGAAGTGCCAGGCGGCGCTTCAAGGCCTGGTTGTATGGCCGGCCTCCCGCCTCAGGCCAGGGTGGGCATGTGAACTTTGTTGGGGTATAGTCCCCCCTAAATGGGGTTTAGGGTTTAGGGCTTAGGATGTAGATAGGGGTTATGTTGGGGTTATATAGCTATTTAGGGTTTAGGGTTTAGGGTTATAGGCCCTTCTAAGTAGATAGAATCCAGGGTTTAGGGTTTGAAGTCTAGGGCCCTAGGGTTTAGAGTTTAGGTTTTTGGGTTACAGTCCCCCTTGAGTAGATAAGGGGCTATTTTGGGGCTATATAGGGAGAATGGAAAAGAAAATGGAAACTACTATTTCGGTCTTAGGGTTTCGGGTTATAGTCCCCCTTAAGTAGATAAAATCTAGGGTACAGGGTTTAGAGTTTAGTGGTTTAGAGTTTAGGCCTTAGGGTTATCGTCCACCTTAACTAGATAGAATCTAGGGTATAGATTTTAGCGGTTTAGGGTTATAGTCCCCCTTAAGTAGATAGAACATGGGGTATCTGGGGATCTTATTGTAATATAGGGTAAATCCATATTCTCTCTACTTAGGGGGGACTATGGGCTCTGGGCTGGAGCCGGAGAGGTGAATGAGGGGAGCAGGAGGAGGGATGCACTACGTAAACTGTACTCAAAAGTCCTTAAGGGGGGCTTATGCAGGTGATTTTCTAGGGGAGTATCATAGGGCTCATTAAGGGGGATACTTGGAGTTTAGACTAAAAAGCTCAAATGGGGAAAGTCGTGTAATTAGTCTTGAGGCAAATCCTGTCACCTCGGAACATCGTAGCTCGCAGGATGCCCCTCTTGGGATGATGGAAAAATGGAAGCTACTGCAGTTTCTTGGGTTGAGTTATTTGAGTTAGTGATAGCCTGAGGCGACCGAGTGCCTCACCCATTTCCTCACTGGGCCGACCTTCGAGGATGCTTTAAGCACATTTCTCAACCTCGAGGAGTATTGGGAGTATTCAGGAGATGTCCACTTCTCCTACGGCCAAAGGATTCCAAGCCACAGGGAGGAAGATGATGGCGCCCAAAGGGACGTTTTCTACGGCTATGGCGGAGGGTCTGCGCGGACTCTGGACACTGTGCGAATCACCGTTCGCCATGTGGATACAGTGAACAGTGTGGAGCAGATTGAGGCTCTTGTCGAGTCGGAGGACTTCACGCAGCGATGGCAGGAAGCCCTTCCAGGTAGCTTCATGACTCTTCGATGTGCTCAGCCATGTGTTCAGCGGTACTTGCTGAGGGCTGCTCTTGTAAAGAGATGTTTGCTAGCGTGAGCAGTCAACCAAGGAGCTCTTTCTCGTACATCTTCTACGACCAGTTTCGCATCATCGTCTCGCAAATGACAATGAGTGTTGGGCTTTGCTTGCTATCTGTAACGATCATCAGCACATTTGTGCTGGCTCATCCGCTGTTGGTGCTGTCAGTTGTGCTCGCTCTGACGCTGGTCTTCGTAGATCTCCTCGGAAACATTGTTCTCTGGGACCTGGATTTGAACACGATTTCCATGATCAACCTGGTGATGGCGGTGGGGTTGGTGGTTGACACTTGGGCTGGACTTGCTTGTTTCAATACAAGCCAACGCGTTTGGTTCATCAAGTGTGTCTGCATCATGAGTGAGCTATGGTCTAAAATCCTTGAAAGGGTTTATGTAGGGCATCACATAGGGGAGTATTGTAGGGGTTATTACGGGGGATGCTCGGAGTTTAGACCACGGCTCATGTAATTTTTGCACACTGTGTTATAAGCAAGTAACAAGTATAGTGGGGTCCTTCAATGCCGGGGTGCAGGACAGTTTCATATCAAGAGGAGAGTATTGTGACACAGCTAGCATCAGATCCTCACACCCTGCCAAAAATATTTCGCATGTTCCAGTTCGTATGTCTCGAATTGTCGCCCTCTCGACCCTAAGCCACCCTGTATCCAGCAGATAGATTAGCGCCCAAGAATCAAGGGGGCCCCCGCCAAAACTATAAAAATGTACTGTTTCATACGTTCCGTTATTCGTAACTGTTGCGTGATGAGCTGCATGAAGCAGTGGTTGCGTTATTTGTTGGCACATTGCTAGCTACATCCCTGAGGTCCGAGGTCAAGATCAAGTTCATATACCTTGCATGTCCATGAGGGTTTTCCAGAACTGCCCGTCTGGAATCTTTTACTGGAGAAGCCCCATAATGCATCTCGTAATCAGTAGTGCCCGCGTATCCCTAGAGAGTACCCCCTATTTTGATAAACCCTCTTAGGCCCCTGGGAACTTACCCCGGGAACAACACCAGAGTCCTCCAGCGAGGTAACTCTAAAGACGAGCCCCGGACCTTAAAGCCAGAAAAACCAGACCTAACGCGCAGATCCTTAAAGCCCAAATCCCTACATCTATTGGCGCCGAACGCTAAACCGAAACCTCAAGCCCATAGACTTGAAGCCCAAAACTTTCATGCGCTCCGCCCTAGATTTAGGGTGTAGGGCAAAGCAGCAAACTCAAAACCCGAAGCCCCTAAGCCCTAAACCCTTGATGCCGGAACCGGTAACTTGACTCTAAGTTCTATACCATCCAAGGACTACTGCATGCATGTCGCCCACAGCTTCAGTATCCAGGACAGGGGGGTGGTGTTGAGGGCTTGTTTCTCCTTAGGGCCTAGGGCGAACATCTTTTCCTGGAATTTTAGGATTGAAGGCTTTGTTGTGCTTAGGACCACAAAGGGAGTAGCGGGAAATTGACGGTATCTTCGTTATGCGCAGGCTGGTCTCATGTTAGGCTCCAGTCCAGTAGCATTTCCTAAGTGCTTTAAAGGGACCCTCAAAAACAGCCCCAAACCCTAAGCCATAAACTACCCAAAACGCGAGACCTTAGACCCTGAACCCAATCCCTAATCCCTAAA